CCAGGCCAGGTTGGTCGCATGCATGCATGCTCTCCTGCCACGGCTGAGCCAAGGAAGGCCGGGCATCTCGGACGAGCAGCGAGTGTGCCTCCGCTGCCCCTCACCCTACTGTAGCTGGCAGGAAAGCGGGAGAAAGGTGAGGGACAGAAGAGGCAGCGGAGAAGAGGCGGCCCTCAGTCGAAATTAGACGCGAAAAGCCGAGAGAAAGGGAGGCAGGCGGGCAGGCAAGCAGTAGGGAGGCCGGAGTCAGGGGCCAGACGGAGCTGTGGGAAGAAGCCCGGGCAGCTCGATTTCATGCTGCCGGCCATCGGTGTGCTCTCACCTCTTTGATTTGCTCGTACGTCTTCCAGCACCTTCGGCTCTGAAAGCGTTGCGGACGACGAAGAGGAACCACCTTGCTTCGCTCGGGCACCCGTCGAGGCCAGACCAAGCCAGGCACAGCAAGCAAAGTGCGACACCTAGCCTCCTGGTCGGGCTCGTGTGCGTCGTGCCGTGTCGTGCCGCGTCGTGCTGTGTCGTGCCGCGTCGTGCTGTGTCGTGCCGTGCCGTGTCGTGTCTTGTCAAAACATGTCGAGGTCACCGACCGTCGTGTCGCAACTACTCGCAGGCCGGTCGGCAGGGATCTGCGCCGCCTGAGACACCAGCCACGGACCCTTGCGCGCGCGGGCCTGCCCGCTGCGTTGCCCAGCTTTGCCGGGCCAGGCTGTCCGACTCGCCGACTCGCTGCTCGTGATCGCTCCCGCGGCACCTGTATCGGCGGCGCGGGTCGCCCAGTGGGAGGGTTAGGCATGACGTCGACCATCGAAGACGCGGCGTCGGAACCATCTCCACCCGGTGTCAATGCGCGCGTCCCATCGACCGGCTAGGGTACAGGCAGGCAGGGACGGTAAGGAACCAAGCAAGGAGGACCTCGCTCAATGTCTCGCGGCGGGGGCAATGTCGCAACGACGCGTGTGAAATGCGAAAGGCAAGGGGCGACGAGGATCTGCCTGCAGCAGCAGCTGCTGCTGCCGCCACCACCACCGACGACGTCGCCGCTTGCTGCCGGGGCGAGGACCCAATCAATGGGCAGCGAGCGAGTTTGGCCAGCAAAGTGCGCGAGCAACAGCTAGATTGCTTCGATGCGCCACCTCCTCTTTCCCAAAGCAGCGGACCGGGCGGCGCGAGGCAGCCTGGCCTCTCGTGCTTGTCTGATGCGAATCGGTACGAACCAGCCTCCGTACCTGGCCGCTCCTCTCCTTTCCCTTGTTCCACGAGGCGGCGCTGGGGCTGCGCGTCGTCTTGCATGGTTTGGTGGCATGACCCAAGGCTGGTGCCAGTTCCCACCCGACGGTGTCTTGCGACAACAAAGCCAGGGGGGAACGGACACCGACGAAGCATGAGGCCCCGGAGGCGGAAACGGCGGAGGAGCGCCTTGCTTGTTCTTTCGTGATCGCATCACGTCGTCGGAACCGCCACCGCCACCCCCTTCCTGGTGCCTTGGTGAGTGCTCAGCGGAGGCAGAGAGTCGCGTTGTCCTTCGAGGCCGACCACCTCATATCCATAACAGGCTCGACGGACGGCGGGCACGCTGGCGAGCGCACCAACGAGTCCGCCACCACCAGAGTATCGACCGACCTCCTCTCTCTTTCGCGGATCCGGCATCGCATCCCGCTGAGAGCGGCCAAGCGGAAGTAGCCGCGCGCCTTTCCCATGGACGGAATAAGAATGGGAGGGGACGTCGGACTCAGCTCCGATACATCGGGACGGTCCATCCGATCCCTCCCGAGACACGGCAAGAACGTCCGACGCGTTCGTCCAGAGGATGACCAGCATCCTCGAGAGAGGAACCCCTCCCATCTCTCTGTCTCTCCGGACCGACGTTCCACTGAGCCGACCGTCGGTCGCAACGGCATGCGAATTTGACTACGGAGCAAAACGTTCATCACAAGTCTCCGACAAAGAGGTCGCTGCTGACGGGCGGTACTGTACTGTACGCACAGCAGCAGGTCAGGCGGGGATCACTTTGGAAGCAGGTACGCGCCGGCGGAGTTTGTGGTCCGTACGTGCGTATCTGGCTTCCACGTCCTCGAACGAGAGGGTGACAGCCCGTCACCTGGTACCCTCATCGATGCTTGGCCCTCCTCGACCAAGCCTTTTGATGGAAAGATGGGCCGGGGCACGCTGATCCCTTTCCCCACCGCATCTTCCCCGACGGCCTTTGGTGCCGCGCTCCCCCCTTCATGCCGCCATGTCAACCCGGACGCAAAGATACCAAGCGCTCGACCCGACGTCCCTCGAAGACGGGCCGACGGGCCACCACGATGCGGACAGGGCGTCGGACGCCAAGCCGCAAGCTGGCGACCTTCGACGGAGCGCGCAAAGAAGGGCAAGGCGTATAGAATCTCCGAAGAGCAACGGCGGCGGTGCCGCGGCGGCGGAAGCCGCTCAACTGTCAACGAGCCAAGCGGTGTGGTACGGCCAGCGCTCGACCGGGGCACCACGCAGCTGGCCCCTTGAAACAACAAGCGAGCGGGGAATAGTTGGAGTTTCTCGGGACCGTCGACCGCAGTCCGTACACGTACGCCTTCCCGAGAAGCGGGATTCTGTGGCTGCCAGAGCTCCGCCTCTGGTGCTGCCACTCGCACCGCATCCGGCCCGCGCTCGAAGCCGGCCGACCATGGTCCCGGGCTGTAGCCTGCTGCCGCCCGGTCCGTGCCATCCATCTGGTGCGTGTGCCGCAGGTCGTCTCGCCCTGCCCCGACGCCATCTAGTTCATCGCCGTGACCCAGCCGAGCAGGTCGACCTTGGCCGCCTCCGAGTCGACGACGTACTTGTGGCGCGTGAGCTCCTTGGGCGTCTGCCGCTTGGCCGGGTCCTTGACGAGGCAGATGTTGACAAACTCCTCCATCTCCTTGGGAAACTTGCCCTCGGGCAGCTTCGGCGGCGGTTCGTTGACAATGTGCTGCAGGAGGTCGAGGATGCTCATCTGCGCGCTCGAGCCTTCGAGGCTGACGCCGGAGCGGCTCTTGCGTCGCTTGGCCTTGTCCTTGGCGGCGGCGCCGTCCAGCCGCGCCGAAAGGTGCGGGTTGGGCTTGGTGGGCGACAGGGTGCCGGCCAGGTCAGCGGGCAGGTCGTCCTCGTCGTCCGAGCCGCCCTCGCCGTCGGCAAAGGGGAAGCGGCCCAGCGCCACCTCGATCACCGACACGCCCAGCGACCACACGTCCGACTTGACGCTGTACTGGTCGCCCTGGATCCTCTCCGGCGACATGTAGGTGCTGGTGCCGACAAACGTGTCGGCGATGCTGTTGATGAGCTCGCCAGAGACGCCAAAGTCGCAGATCTTGATCTGGCCCATGCCGTTGACGAGTATGTTGCTCGGCTTGACGTCGCGGTGGATGATCCGGTGCTCGTCGTACAGATACGTCAGGCCGTGCACCACCGCCACCGCAATCTTGCCGCACACCTCTGGCGGGATCGGTCCGTACTTTTTGTAGATGGCATCGAGGGACCTGCGCAGAGGATATGCGCGAGGGCGGCAGGGAGGATCCAGCACGGCCGGTCAGCACCCGTCGTCCAAGGGGGCACGGACGGCACACTGGCGGCACTCACCCTTTGTCCATGAACTCCATGCACATGCAGATGTGAGGTTCGCTGAGGTATGCGCCGTAGAAGCTGACGATGTATTTGGAGTTGCATTCGTGGAGGATCTGCAGTTCCCGCAGGATCTGCTTCCTCACCGTCGGCTTTGCGTCGATAAAGACGACCTGTATGGCGGCGGAAGACGAAGACATCGGCGGGCAGGTGGGACAGGGGTAAGGCCAGGAGTCAGTGGGGAGCTGGCCGGCCGCTGCGCCATCGACGTCGGCCGGGGCCGGCATGGGCAGGCTCACCTTTTTCGCCATGACGGTGCCGCTCTTTTCGTGTAAGACCTGCGGGGCGAGAAAAGGTTCCGGGAGAGGCCGTCAGCATGAGCGGCGCCGTTCGGAAGGGAGAATGACGGGGCTAGCTGCCGAACGAGGGCGGCCAAGGTGGCGACGACGATCTGCCATCTGCCAGGCCTCTTGGCGGACGTTGGTCTGCGAGGCGACCTGTATCGGGGCGACCGCGCCCGAACGACCGCGAGGACGCTGTTCGAGCCGCTCACCTTTGTCACCGTACCGCCGTTTCCAGCCCCGAGCTCGCTCAACGTGGTGAGGTCCTCATTCTTGAGATCGAGCTTGTACTCGATGCCCAGCTCGAGGTTGGCCAGCTGCTCGCTCAGCTTGCTGTGGTAGTTGACCGGCTCCGCCTCTGACCCGTTGCGGCCCGACAGCTTCGATGTCCGTGATGCCGCGGCGGTCGGATCGGAAGACGATGGACCCGCGAGCCCAGAGCTGCCAATGGTGGGCTTGGCGGACTGCGGCGAGGCCAATGGCGACTCTGTGAGCTGCAGGCCCTTGAAGTTCCGCTTCTTGCGGACCGAGCTGGAGGACGGAAGCATCTCGAGGGTAGCGGCGCCGCAGTCGTCGGGATCAAGGTCGGAGGCGTGCCGGGGATCGATGCAGGCGAGGCGGGCCGGGCCAAGAAGGACGTCGAGCGCAGTGAAGGAAGCCGCAGTGGGTGGTGAGGTCTTCAGATGACGCCGTCCGCCGGTAAGAGCCTGGATCTCCGGGAGCGGTGGCAGCTATCACGAAGTGAGCGAGGATCTAGTCGGGCACCAGGGAAGCAGCGATGGCTCCGAGCGTTGTGGAAGCGAGAGTGGCTTTACCCTCGACGAGGCTCGAACGGAGCAGCAAGAGCTGGCCTGGAGTGTCACCTTGCGAGAGCAGGGCCGGGGGCTGCTGTCCTTTGAGCTGCGTCGAGTCTTGACGAGGTCGAGATATTGAACGATTCTCGAAGAGCGGTCTGCTTTCAGGGTTGGACGACGTCGGCGGCGGCTCGTTTAGCTGGCGTGGTCTGGCTGGCCGTCTATTAGGGGTGCCAGTGTGTCGGTGCAGGTGCGGAAGAGCACAGACCAGGTCCGAGGCTGGGCGGTGGTGTTTGACGTTGAGTGCTCTGGGTGATGGTGACGAGGCAGCGGTGATGGTGCAGGCGGGCTGGTGTCGCTGTGCCTCGGTGATGAGGTCTGAGAAGGGCGTGTGGTCGAGGCGAGGTCGACCGATACGCTGCTGCTGGCTTGCCTGCCTGCTTGCTTGCTTGCTGCTGTGTTGCTTGCCCGCTCGCTCGCTCGCTGTTGCCTGGTGGGCCTAGCTGGTGGCCCGCTCGCTGTGCGCTGGGTCGGGCTGGGCTGGGCTGGCAGGCCCGCGCTCGGGTCTGCAGCAGCTACGCTGGTCGGGCCTCCCTCCCTCTTGTCCTCCTCTCTGGCTGGCCCTCCCTGGCTGGCCTACCGCCTGCCCGGCCTGCCTGTGCTTCTCTTTCGTCTGCCTGTCTGCCTGCTCGCTGGCTTCTCTTTTGCCCGAGGTGAGCAGCGGGTCCTTTCAGAGAAGGCGCGTGCGCGCTCCCAAAAAATACACACACACACACACAAAGCAGCCTAGGCAGGGGGGCAGAAAGGGTCTGAGCCCTCCCGCCTACAGCCTCCTGGCCCGGCCGCCTGCCTGCCTGCCTGCCTGCCTGCACACACGCAGGTTCAAAGGGGCGACGGAGAGCCAGGTAGGCTAGGCCCAGGCAGGCCAAGCAAGGCCGAGGCCCGAGCCTCTGCCCCCCGTCACGGCTCCGCAAAACAACATCGTCCGTTCGGTCGGTCGGTCGGTCGGTTGGTCGGTCGGCCACGCCCGCTCTGGGCCAGCGACCCGACCCGAAAGCAGGTGGACGGCGCCGACACCATCTCGCAAGCCGCACCGTCGTCCCGTCTCGTCCGTCGCTGCCGCTAGCGAAACGTGGTACTGCTGCTGGTGGCGAAGACGTCGAGACGAGCGCCTTCAGCTAGCCATACACACGGCCCAGACGCTCAGACGACTACGAGGGCGGCGACACACCAGGCGCTGGATCCATCGCGAGGAAAAGAGAACGGTGGCACAGGTATCATTCCAGAGAGCGACTAAGAGACCGGATCCTACAACGCCTCCAACGCATGCCAACAATCTTTGCGGGGTCTATCAGATCTGAGCGGCCAACCCTCCCTCGGAGCTCAGGAACAAGCTCCCACTGAAGGTCGCAGGCCAATGTTGCTCCTCGGGCAAAGGTCCTCGGCGGGCGACTAGAACCAGCCACCTCCCCGAGGGAAGGCGGTCCGGCAAGGCCCTGGATATTGCCTCACTGTCGTAAAGGGCGGCGCAACGCTCCGTCTTCATCCACTAGACTGAAAATTGTGGCATGCATTTGAGCATGTAAGATACCGGTAATCGACTCTATTAAGTGATTCCGTGAAGTACTGTGGGGTGGCAAGCGCGAGAGGTGGGTAAAGTGCGAGGATGGGTCAGCGTGGTCGTGTCGGTTGTGTCGGTAGGCCGAGCCAAATGTTAGGGGGGAGGGGCGGGATACAAACTCGTCTGAGAATTCCTTGTTGAGGGTCAGGGGGGGATCCCCTATTTATGATTTCGGCCCCCCCGCCAAAACGGAGGGCCTGACCCTTCGCTCGCTGGGGAACCAGCGTGCAAGGGCGGCTCGCCTGTGTGCCTGGGCGAGCTGGCCTTGGTCGTGCAGCGGGCGAAGAAGTTTTTTCTTCCACCGCATTCTGTCTCGGCCGGCTGGTCTCGTCCCCCCGCTGGCTGGGCAGACAGGCTGTGCTTGCGCCGCGACCTTTTCTCTGGGCGATTTTTTTCTTTGTCTCGACATTGCAGGCCCAAAAATGCTGCGGCAAGGGTGAGCTGCGGCGTGCAGCTCGGTCGTGATTCGGTGCACGAGGAGATCCAACTTTGGTGCTGCCAACTGCGGCAGAAGGTCGTGGAGGCCTGCGTCGAATGGCATTCTTCAGCCCCTTTTTGGCAGCGACACGACGAGAAATGTTGGGATAATCGCGAGCCGGGCCGGTTGGCCCGTAGTCCCGCTTTCCGGGATATCCTCTTGCTCTCTCTCGGCCGCTACGAGGAACCGAGGAGTGTGTCAGAGTCCTGGCCGTTTGAGCACTGTTGCACCGTGCGACGCCAGCACTTTGGGCCGGCCGGTCCCGCTGCCGCCCAGCACCAGGCTAGCAGCGGGTTTGTGCGCCCTAGCCATATTGCTCTGATCCTACCATCGTCGAGGGTGGCACTGTCACCTCGCATCCTCTTTGGCCCAACGTCCAACGTCGAACGATTTCGCTGCGATCCGCCCGGCCTCACCGCCCGGAACGCCCTCCTGTGACCGCCCACTGCGCTCGATTCCAAGGCAGCAACGAGTCGGGCGACTTTGGCTGGTGCATCCGACGATGTATGTCGTCGATGTTGCCTCGCCAACCTCTATCAGCACTGACGGGCCCACGCAATGTCTGACGTGCTGCCTCCTGTCTCTCTGCGGGCGACAGATCGAGGCGGCCTCAAGTCATGCCGGCGCCAGTCTCAGACACAAGGCCCAATTGACGTCGACGATAAGCGCCACCGCACAAAACGCAAAACACCACGGCCGTCTCCACCACCAGGGAGGTCGTCCCGTTCCGCCACCAGTCTGGCCGCCGTCGACGTGGACAAGGCAGCGTCCGCCCTCTTTTGCGCTGGTGAGTGCCTTTACGGCTCAGCGCCGCTCTCTTGGTCTCTGCATCGCCACCTCTCCCTTTCGTCCCATTCGTTCGGCTTCGGCAGCGATTTTGACGCAATCTCCCCCTCGCGGACTACAGCCATCGTTGCCAGGTCACTGGGTGGCGTTGCTCGGAAGGTTCTATCGACGCCTCTCAGCGGCGCCGGCAGCATCGGTGACGCTGGCGGCGCTACGCCACTCTGCATCGCCACGAGGAGTCAACGCGATCCCGCTCGTCATCGCCCGCCCTGTACGTCAAAGCCCGCTGCATCCCCGTTGCAGATCCTGCTGAGCCTGGCCTCAACGACGACGCTTCGACCAACCGCACAGCCCATGGGCCTCGAACCCACTCTGCTGGGGTCAGGCGCTTCGGCCCAGCCTCCACGCTTACCTCTTACCGGCCGCAGCTCGGCTGTCGCCGCCGCCTTTGCTCACATACCCCTCGATGGGGCCAACGTCGACGTCGATGCAATCGATCACCAGTGCACTCCACGTCCGAGACATGCGCATCGCAGCAGCATGTGACTTTCGATGTAGCTATCCTACGCACGGCAGAGGTGCAGCCTACTACTCCCTCGTAGAAAGCAGTCGTACTTCTCGCCATTCACATGCTGGGGATGGAGGGGTGTATCAGAGAGCGCGTTGTGCGAGTGCGAGGGGAGATGTGGCGGTTCTAGCGCATGTATGCGCACCTCAGGTTGACGCGCTGTTGGAATGTGAGGCCGTCCTTGGTTGCGAGATGCTTGAGGTACCCGTGGACCTCGCGGTCAGAGGAGGGCGCGGTCCAAGCGAAGATTGCGAAAGCGACGCTGTATTCAAAGGTTGGTGGTGGTTGGGAGAGATATGGTAGGCTGCAACGACGTGGCCAGGCGAAGTCATGTCGTTGCGAGGTCGGTCGAGCATGGACAAGCTGGGCGAGGTCGGGGCGAGGTCAGGCCAAAGGGACGCACGCGCCCCCGACTTTTTCGGGCCAGGCCACGAGCCTAGGCCTGCCCTGACGTGTTTTTTTCGTCAGGCCTCCCTCCACATGGCCAGCCAGGCCACCCTGCACCGGGCGCGCTGATGTGACGAGCGCAGCAGCAGAGGCCAGGGCACAGGCGGGCCGAGGGTCATCGCCACCCTGCGAGGGCGGGCAGCTCCTCCTCGTCAACACCATCTCCCCCACCGGACGCCATCCACACAGACACCACCGTACCATCGCTCAACATGGCATCCTTCTCCATCTTCCGACCCGCCCTGCATGCCGGCGGTGGCCTGGTGAGCAGCGCCGCGACGCGCCGCGCCGCGCCGCGCGGGGACCGTGCATGCCGTGACGCACCGACGCCAGCCATCGCTTACCTCTCTCTCTCCATCCACCCGTCCATCCACATTACAACCTCTGCTCGTGCGCAGAACCCGCTGGCCTCGTCTGCGTCGCGCATGGGCCTCGGCATCAGGCCGGCCCAGCTGCGCACCTACTACGGCAAGCGCGTCCTCCCCAAGGCCTTCCAGAAGCCCGCCCCGCAGGCCGTCGCCAGGACCCGCGTGGCGCCCGCGTCCCAGTCCCGCCTCGGCCTCGTCGTCGGCGGATCCATCGTCGCCGCCGTCGGCCTCTCGTCGTTTGCCGGTCAGAAGGTGCACTGTGGTGCGTAGACGCCGAGGCTCGCCGTGGGCCTGCCGGTTGTGCCGTCCCTTGGACCGCCGACTGATATCCCCTCTCTCCGCTACTTGCACGGCCCTGCTCCTTCCATGGTCCCGGTCCTTGCACCGCGCCGCAGAGTCGGCGAGACCCTATGCGCAGCCGCAGCCCGGCGTGGGCAACGCCAACGGCCCCATCCTCCAGGAGGAGCCCAAGAGCAGCGTCAACGTCTACCAGCTCTCGTTTGGCACCGTCTGGTGAGTTGGCGTCCGCGCCGCCGCCCGGCTGCCTGTTCCCCCAGCCATGCTGACCGTCCCTACTTGCCTCTGGCCTCTACCAACTCGCCTCCGCGCAGCGGCCTGTGCGCTGGCATCTTTATCAAGAAGGGCGCCAAGGCGATTGCGTTCCTGCTGGGCGGCGTCTACATCCTGCTCCAGTACCTCAACACGCAGCGCCTGGTGAGCGTCAACTGGTCGGCGATCGGCAACCGATACGACCGGCTGGTCAACGGCGCTGCGGGCGGCGAGGCCGGCAGCTCGTCTGCGACGGGCTACGCTGGCAGCACGGCGCAGCGCCTCTGGAACCGTACCACGCACTTTCTCATGGCCGACTTCCAGCCCCGCGCCACGTTCATGGCCGGTCTGCTCCTCGGCCTGCGCCTGGGTTAGCGCAGTGGCGTGGGCCCGTGTAGATGTCATGTCTCGACTGCCTGCGTTGATCGAATCCAGTTGTGTTGATTGTGGACCAGGACGATGGCGGTCGAGTCGAGTCGAGTCGAGTCGAGTGCGATGACTGGCCCTGACCCTGAGCGATGCGGCGCATGCGGACGGACGGATGTGTGGAGCTGCCCGACCATGGCCAGCCCACGACCCCGCACTTTTTTCCGCAGAGTCGCCCGGACTGCAGTCGAGTCAAGGCGGGGCAAGGCAGGGCTCGCTTTTTCTCTGTCCCCCCCCCCGGCGCGCTCTTCTTCCCGACCTCTTCTTCCTCGACACCTCTTCCCCGCTGCCGTGGCCCACCACCCCTCACTTCTTCCCATCTCCCCCACCTCCCCCTCCTACCGCCACGACAACGACGACGACGACCATGAGCGCGCCCGACGAGCTGACGATACCCTCGCCCGCCGACTTCCACGTCCACCTGCGGCAGGGTGCCATGTCGGAGCTCGTGACGCCCCACGTCGGCGAGGGCGGCATCTCGCTGGCCTATGTCATGCCCAACCTCGTCCCGCCGCTGACGACGGCCGCCGACGCCGAGTCGTACATCTCGCAGCTGCACAAGCTCTCGCCCTCGACCCACTTCCTCGCCACGCTCTACCTCAGCCCTTCCCTCACCCCAGAGGAGATCCGCAAGGCCGCAGCGGCGGGCATCGTCCGCGGCGTCAAGTCGTATCCGCGCGGCGTCACGACCAACTCGGACGGCGGCATCGAGGACTACGAGACCTACTACCCCATCTTCGAGGAAATGGAGCGCTGCAACCTCGTCCTCAACCTCCACGGCGAGCTGCCCAGCGACATCGACCGCGGCATCTGCGTCATGAACGCAGAGCATGAGTTCCTCGCACACCTCCACAAGATCCACAACCGCTTCCCCAACCTCCGCATCGTCCTCGAGCACGCCACCACCGCAAAGGCCGTCGAGGCCGTCAAGGCCTGCGGCGACACGGTCGGATGCACAATCACCCCGCACCACCTCCAGCTCGTCGTCGACGACTGGGCCGGCAAGCCCCTCAACTTTTGCAAGCCCGTCGCAAAGCTCCCCAGCGACAGGCAGGCCCTCCGCGACGTCATCCGCTCCGGTGAGTGGGCGCCCAGAGCGGCGGCGTGCTCATCATTTTCGCGCCCATCGTCGGCGCGCCCAGCGTCGGCGCGCCCCTCGCCGGCCTCGAAAACGACCCCGCTGACGCTGACGCTGACGCTGCCGTGCCGTGCCCCCGCCTTCGACCCGCAGGCCACCCGCGCTTCTTCCTCGGCTCGGACTCGGCGCCGCACCCCCTCGCCAACAAGTACCCCTCGGCCGTCACCCACGGCGCTCCCGGCGTGCGTCCGGCGGCATCCGGCGACGACCTCGAGCCCACGGGCGTCATCGCGTGCGGCTGCGCTGCCGGCGTCTACACGTCGCCCATCCTCGTCCCGCTTTGCGCCACGCTGCTCGAGAGCTTCGGCGCCCTGGACCAGCTGGCAAACTACGTCAGCCTCAACGGCCGCAAGTTCTACGGCTACGACCAGCCCGACCAGCTCGCCAAGGGCACCATCAAGCTCCGCAGGACACAGGCGCCGTCCAACGTAGTCCCGCCCGTCTACGTCCACCCCAAGTGCCAGGCGATGGGCGACGGCGACACGGACAAAGTCCAGGTCGTCCCCTTCTGGGCCGGCAAGAAGCTCGCCTGGGAGATTGTCAACTAGCGAGCAGTGTGCATTGATCAGAACGGGTGCGAATTCGAGGCGCACAGGGTCGACTCGGCAGAACGCGACCCAAAGGTCCGCCGTGGCCGCGCGGGTGCCATGGCCCAACCTCTGCTCGTCTTGCAAAAGGGTCAATGCGCCGTCGCATAGCGAAAGGCGTTGCCGTTGGCTGGCAGGGAGAGAGCACGCGGATGCGGCCGCGTCAGCGCACGCCGTCGATCCCGTGCTCGCACCAAACGCGCCGTCCACCCACCCGTGACCGCCGAGAGGAACTCCTGCCTGGGCCTCGAGGCCTCGCGTCCTGACTCGCGCTTCGGCGCGTCTTGTGGCGGCACGGTCGGAGGCTTGGATCCATGGCGGTGTCGATGATGGCGATGGTGGTGATGACGATGCTGGTGCGTGGCGACGCCGCCGTATTCGTCGTGCTGCTGCTGCTGCTGCTGCGACGGCGGAGGATGACTGGGACTGCCAGCGTGTCGCGGGGCCTGCAAGATGCTGTGGTTGTGCAGACCCATCGGCGACGTCTGCTTCGAAACGGCGCCGCAGAGCGTCGGGGCGATCAGAGGAGGGTCAGGTCCGGCCTGGCGGGTCTGAGGGGAACGCCCGCTGCATTGCCATCATCGCGGCCATCACCCACCGTTGCGCTCGCTCGCAAATTGGCCGACGCTCCGGCTTTGGATCCCTTTGCCGGGGTCGGCTCCTTTCGCAGCGCTGGCAGGCTTGCTTCCCATCCCGACCTCTGCCAGAAGGGCTCCGGCTTCAGCCCCTTGATGTCGCCGAAGTTGGCCTGCACCATCGCGACGGCGGCCGATGGATGCTGTCAGCTGGGGCTGGCCGATGCCTGGACGATCCGAGGGCGGCGGACGACGGCAGATGGCCTTACCTTAGACGCGAAGCTGCGTTCAGGTCCAGGCCCCGCCGATCCCGTGCGGTGTCTCGCCATGTCGCAGTCGTCTGCGCCGGGTGCGATGTTGGCGGAACCAGCGGCTGCAGCGGTCCCAAGCAGCTGATCGTGTTGCGCCTGGGGTCGAAGCGGCTCATGAGGGGATCTGGTCAGTCGGCGATGACGCCCGTGGCTCCATCGCGGGCATCTCGCCCTCGACGATCGGCCGCCCTTGCGCGGTCTTCACCTTGAGCTTGCTATAGTCTCGTTGCGTATCGCGGACCGCCTCTTGCAGCTGCTGCGTCTTGACTCTTTCGTATCGCAACTCTGTCGGGAGCGCCACGGATGGAAGGAGAGATGTGCGGGGCGTGAGGGAACGAACAAGGGATGTCGGCCTCGGTGCTGGCCACCGCCGAAGTCGACATGCTCTCACCCTCCTCCAGACCTGTGCGAATGGCCACGGATTCGCCGCGGTGACCGGCTCGTCAGTGGTGAGATCGTCGGACGGCAGGCGCGCATGGTATCGAGGGCTTACGTCGGACCCGGTCCTGTGCCCTTTCGACTTCGGCGTTGGCTGTTGAGCGGCGGTCGTCGCGACGTTTGCATGGCTGTCGTCAGCCATTCGAGCTGCATCTCCGGCTCGGCAGAGAGGCAAAACCTGCCTTCGTTGACAAGCCTATCATCAAAGAGGGGCAGATCGACAGTGAAGCGAAGCACATGCTCAACCAGAAGGTCCAATGGTGAGGTCGGCACTCCGCCATACCGTGCATGGGCCGCCATCCACCTACCCTTGCAGACGCTGCTCGAGGACCGCATTCTTCTCCTGAGCGTTCCTTAGGATCATCGCCTGGAACGCTGCCTGGCGAACGGGCCGACGGTCGAGAAACGTGCGAGGGTCAGAGGCGGAGACATTGGGCGAAATGGACGGAAGCGTGCTCTGGGCTGGGGCATCTGCGCCAGTCCTAGCACGAGCGTGGTCGAAAGCCCATCCTGGTCGGATTCTTGCTCACCTCTTGGGAGCACTGCCAGGTACAATGATGGAGAAGATGCGCGCGGCGTCAATGAGCCTTGAGCAGGCTGAGTCCAAGCTCTCCATGCCGCTCAACCTCCGCGAGAGCAGAGAGCCTCACCTGATACTGCCAGAACTGCAGACTGCGCGCGGCAATCTCCATGACGATGGCCGGCGCAAGTCCGGCCAAGACGGACTGGTCAATATCGCCGGCAGAGGTCTCAACTCGGTTAGTGTCGGCCCAGATCCGGGTGTCCAGCTTGGGAGCCGATCGGTCTTGTGCATCGCTGATGGCGAACACGGACGCCGAGGTGGGGCCACTCACGGACCGGTAGTCTGCGGAAGGGTTGAGTGAGCTGACGACGACATCGTCGGGCCGGTCCAGCACGGCTTCACAAGCGGGACAGGCGCGCTCGATGGTGAAGAGCTCGTTGGCGCACGAGACTGCTGGTTGCAACGGTCCAAGAGACGAGTCAGTGGCTCGGGAACCGACTTGCATGGTCGCGCCCACCTGGGAGGCACCGAGATCAATCGACCCACCGCAGAAGATATCTTCCAAGGCGCAGCCATGAATGCGTAACGCGCAGACGAGAGGAAGATGCAGGGGAAGCCTTTCAGTCAGCGGGCGCCAGCGCTTCCGCCACATTGCTGCATTGCCGCGCGTAGCACTCACGGGAACACGTCGTGACGACGGCTTTGCCTGGGACGCAGCGGCACAGTGAGAAAAGGCATCAGAGACTGGGGGCTGCCACGTCTTTTGCCACCTGGAAGCGGATGCTCCGACTGGTGGATGTCCGCATTGACCGACCTTCGAGATGCAGCGACTTGCGGCACTTGAGCCCTTCAGTAAAATGGAGGGAAAGACGCACGACGATTGCCGGCCCGGTCAGCTGGGAATATCGTTGGGCCCGTCGAGTCGATCAGCAGCCGCGGCGGAGACGTCGAAACAAGAATGGGACCTCTAGGCACTTGGCCGGTTCAGCTTACAGTTGCAATGGAGAGTCGTCTCGTCCATTGTTTGAGATGTCGTCCAGCGATCGACGGCGATGGAACGCCAGGCGGGTGCGACTGGTCTGACGTGCCGGGCAGTCGACCAGGTGGGTTTGTCGAGAAGCAAAAGGGCAGGGGTGGAGGGGAAAAGGACAGGACGGAGCCTCGCCGTGGCAGTCGAAGGGTCTGCACGGTATGCTCAAAGAGGCGAGGACGCCTAGCTGTGCTGTTGAGCCGATCCACGGGTTGAAGCTGGTTGGGGCGGGCAAGGGGCCCCGCGAGTCCGCCTTTGTGTTCGCCAGCCCAGGTGCGAGTCGGCGAGGCCGACGTCGAGGGGGCGTTATACGTACGTGTACCAATAGTTTCCCCAGACAGCCATACGGCTAGCCAGATACCTTTCAAGACAACGGAGCCGCGCATCGTCAGCGGCTCGCTCCTCGGCCAACGATGGGGCTACGCCTCGATCTGCTTTGGTTTGACCGCGGCTTGGCGTGTCTGTGCGGCACAATGAGAGCCGCCGCACGGAAGAGGTTAGCAGTGTTGTTGGGCCGCTAGCCGCTTTTTCCTGACTTTGTAGCCAGGATGCACCTAGACTTGTCGGAGCCGGCGAGAGTGGTACACAGAAGCAGGCGGGCTTTGCCACGCGCAGGCAACGACATACGCATCGCTCCTTTCGACCCCTGGCGCTTGGTGACGGGGGAGGCACACAGCTAGGCTGAATCGCAAGGGAATGAATGTTCATCAGGAAGGTTCTTTGAGCTCGTCAGATGGAGAAATGCGACACTGCCTTGCGGAAACCTCGAGAGACTCAACTGGGTCGGCATATCCGATCAGGTAGCGCGACAGGGTTGGATGTGCTATAATCACCCAGCCACCGCCATACATATTTGCTAGGCTGGCGCTAGAACGCGGATCGATGGCGTCTGCGCTCGGACATGCCGACGCGGGACAAGGATCATGGCCATCATGTCGCTCTAGTGAGAGCTGCAGTAGCCCGGAACACGGCGCCTGGTTGCCTCGTCTCGACACATCACATTTTGGTCTCGGCCCCATCTCGGTCGCGAGCTGTGACGTGCGAGGCAAAAGGGAGGCCCGGGCTCGCAGACAGGACGTGGTACACACAGCGGGCATCGTTTCAGGATCAGCGGGCCCTTTGTCGTGTAGTTACTCCGCCCTGAGAGAGCTGCCTGCACGTCCACAAACACGCTGCATATCCGGCTCGGTACTGTGCCCCCACTTCGGAGCGGCCTGGCGTACGGCGCAGCGGTAGTTATCAGCAGCTTCACGCTCCAGCAGCAGCAAACAAAAGGGGGTGGAAGGTTAGCTCAAGGGGGCCTGGCGGGGGCTAAGCTGCAGCAGCAACAAGTGGCTCTCAGCCAAACCTTGATCTGTTTCCCAATCCAGGACGAGAACAAACCTCGCCGCAGCTCACCGCACCGCGCCGCACCGCACCGCACCGCTCCGTTCACTATGCCGCACCTCGAGTCGGTCCTCGGCCTGCTTGTTGCCCGCCTCCCTGGCTTGCAGGGGAAGCTGGGCAGGGCCATGGGTCACGCTCGACTTTCCCGGTCCGACCATGCAAGAACGTCGTTACATATGTTGCTGGTTTCGGCGCATGGATCGAGGCACCGGGATCAGTTCCCGCCAAATAATAATCTTGCCTCGCCCCCGCTCATCTGCATCCCGCGTCAGACAGAGCAGCAGTCTCTATCGGCCTCTTTTGTTTGGAGCTGCGCCAAACTCGTGCACGGAAGCTGGTTCCCGCTGGTTTGCCCGCACGTAGCCAGGTCCAGGGCAGAAAGTCAGGCTAATGGCGTCTCCAATGCCGGTACAGAAGGGATCCGAGCCGCTGCCCCCCGCCGCTCCCTCACGCTCTGGTAATATCGCCGACCGTCCGATCCGCGTTTCCTTCTCCGATGCCATCCAGGCGGTCTTCGGCCACTGCGGCGACCAAGGAGAGGGCCTGCGGTGTGTCCGGCGTCTCCTCTGCTAACAAACGGAAACCAGACCCGGATCGGACTTGCCGACGACCGGGATTCGCCCGAGGTGCGGTCTTCCGATGCGGCGAACAAGATAGCAGCGGCTCAGCAAAGCTCCACCAGGCAAGGGAGGCAGGCGTAGACACTAGTGTACACCAACTGCGACGGAACGGGCCGAAGCGCAAAGAGGCTAGGCGCAGGGTCTGAACCCGCACCCATCTCTTTGCCGGCCCCGGCCTGTACGTGCGTGCGTGGGTCTAGGGAGCCAGGCAGAGCGATGCGGCCGGAGGCGTGGCGATGGCGCAACGCTGCGTGCCTTCATCACTTTCACCTGGGACGACGGCAGCGGTCAGCACCGTCGGCCTCATCCTTGGTCGTCGTCTCGTCCCCACCGGCCCATTCCGATGCCTCGCTGCTCTGGCTGCCCTCGTCCCACCTCTCGGCCCCTCTGTCGCGTGCTGGTGTCTAGCCCGGGCATGCGCACACAGCGCTCGACGCCCGCCCCAAAGACCCTCTTACCGCAAGCCTACTGCCTCGACCGGAGCAGCGCACCTCCCTGCCTGCCCACCAGCATACATATACCACGTACGCAACTCGGTTCCATTGTCGCTCCCTCGCCACCAATCTCTCAGCATCGTCTCCTTTGGTGGTCCCCTCCCATCCTCGCCTTTTGTCGTCCAATCAACGTTCGCATCCATCGCTACGCGTTTCCGCAATACCCTCGACCCGACTCCGTCGCCCAGACAGAGGCCCCGCACGAGGCCTAGCAACAAACACGACCCTATCGGAACTCGGCCTCAATCGGCTGCCACACGCGCATCGCCTCGTAAAACGCTCGAACCCCCGCTCAATCCAACCGCCATGGAAGCTGCGCTGGAGGCCATGTACGCCGCGCCCGGCTGGGCCGCCTCAAACGCCCGCCGCTTTTACATCGAGGAATGGACGCGCATGCTCCCCGGATCGCCGCACCAGCGACCGCCCTACCCCTACACCGAGATCATCAAGATCGCCATCCTCAAGTCGCCGCAGCGCCGCCTTACGCTTTCGCAGCTCTACGCCGAGTGCAGCTCCAAGTTCCCCTACTTTGCCAGCGTCGGGACGACGGACAGCTGGAAGGTGAGCCTCGGGAGGCCTGCGAGCCGTGACTCTGTCTGCACGCGACGCTCAACGTTCGTCTCTCCGCCGTGTTGTGGCTCTCTTTTTGGCCCCTACCCTTGTTTCCCGCCGCCATGCAACGCGTGCACGCTGCAGAACACGCTGCGGCACAACCTCAGCACGCAGCGATACTTTGTCAAGCTCAACCGCGAGGTCAATGCGCCGGGCAAGGGCCACTACTGGACGTTTGATGCCCAGGTCGAGCAGGACGTCGTCCTCTCGCGCCGGAGAAGGCCGCAGCTGTCGGCCCATCACTCTCTCGCGTCGTCTCCGCCGTCTGCGTCGACGTTGACGCTGCAGCTCTCGCCCGTCGGCCCTCACCAGCATCCGCAGCAGCAGCCATCGACGCCCGAATCGTTGTGGCGATCACGCACCGGGTCCTGCAGCCCTCTCTCTCGGGCGCATCCCTACAGGTACGACTCTGGCGGAGCAAGAGGGCGACCCGAGGGCGAGTTCGACGCGAGCGACGATCCCAGGGCCGCGAGAGGGCTGTTGCTACAGGGTGCCTGGATCGATCGGTTCCAGCGCCGGGACGTCGGCGCGGGGGGCGGCGATGGGGCGAGCCACGAGGTCGGAGCGGAGCATGCACGCTCTGCACTGGCCGTGGAGGGCGACCGGGGCCAAGAGACGCGCATCCTACCTCCGCTCGCGTCCCTCTCGATTCAGTCGTACACCGAGCTGCATCCCAAACGGCCAAGGAGGAGCATGAGCGATCATTTCCTCTCGCACCCCATCCCGACGAGGGCGCCAAGTGCCAGCATCGTGAGCAGGAGACGTGGGACCTCTTGAGCCGTTCCTCGCTCGAGCCACGTAGACCCCTAGCCGCCGCGACCCGATCCGGCTCGACCCGAGCTGAAATGGGACAGTCGATCGCACATCCAACGAAGGACGCAGAGGGCCATCCAGGTCGCACCGGAGCAGCGCCATGTCCGGGAACCGTCAAGTAAGCGTTAGGATTTCTACCACGGCCACCGCTCGTGTACCTAGGCCGTCATCGCCGCGACTCGGAAGCATGGACCGGCTAGCTCCGAACTGTGCAAAAGGGGCGAGAGGCAAAGGGACGAGCGGGTCGAAGGAAAAGGTGGAAAAGGGGGAGGGGGGCAAGCATGGCGCCGAAGACGAAGGTTGGCTGCGCAGGGAAGAGGGCTAGAAGGAGCAGCGACGACAGGAAGAGATGAGAGAGACCGTGACAGTGACGTGACAATGGACCTGGAGATGGATGGTGGGGAGCCAAGATGGGCCAAGCCCAGCCCGACAGAACGCGACGACGATGCTGGAGAGGGATGCAAGGAAGACGGGTGACCATGGAGCGGTGCACGAGGGATGACGAGGGAGCGAGCGTGGGAGAGGAGGGCCGGGCTGGCAGGAGAAGGAGCAAGGGCTGAGCGATCATAGGCTAAAGACAGGCCCGCCCATCGACGAGCGGCTAAAGTCGAGCTGCCACACGGGCGTGGCCATCGGCGGAGGGATGGTCGCGGCATCGACAAACGCTCGAGATGCGGTCTTCCTGGCCTTGCTCGAGGTCGAGAAGGCGTCGGGGGAAGGGACCATGTCGCGGGCAAAGAGCGAGTTGGCCGACCTGGGACCATAGAAGGCGGCGGCTTCGGCCTCGGCCTCGGCGTTGCCATCCTCGAATGCACGTCGCTGCGCCGTCCAGCTCAGGCTGGCATGGACGCTGTCGGCCTCGGCCATCTCTCCGGGTCCGCACATCTTGGTGGCGGCCGCCGCGGCGGTGACGGCTGCACCGCTCTGGTTGGTCAGGTAGCCGCTGAGCCCGCTGAATGCGCTCGTAAGGCCCTGGAGGCTCATCCGGCTCAGCGCCCGCGAGCCAAACGCAGCGGCGCTCGAGGCGGCCGAGAACGACTCGTGGTCGCCGCCGCGCGCCTGGAAGCTGCCGTAGGGGCTGCCGCTGCTCTCCGAGAAGCTCTCGCGCGCGTAGGCGCTCCTGGCCACCGGCGGTCGTCGGCCGACGGTCGAGGCGACGCGCGTGCCGGTACTGCGCGGGACAATGGCAGCCTCGCCCCTGGCGTTGAGGCGGATCGGAGGCATGTCGATGGGCTCCTGCGACGTCGTCAGGGGTGGCAGGCTGCCCTCGTGCATTATGCCAAAGAAGTCCTCGATGGCGGCGTCCTTCTTGTCGGAGCGCGACAGGCGACCGCGCCGGATCGCCATCTCAAAGTTCCAGTCAGGGATAAACTCCGGCCGCGGGCTGGGGCACCGACTAGACGCCGTGCTGGCATCGTCGCCGAGGAAGCGGTTGTGATGGTGGTCGAGCGGAGGCGTCGCCGGCCCGTCGTTGCTCTCGAGCGAGCTGCCCGTCGAGCGGAAGCCGTGGTTCGGGTTGCCCGGGTGCGGGACGAATGTCGCCGACGACGACGGCGGAGCCGGGCTGTGCATAGGCGACGAGAACTTCTCCGAGTGCAGCGGCATCGGCGAAGCGGCATCCTCGTATTGGCGGTCGCCAAAGCTCGACTCGGAGACGTCGAGGCTTGGGCGGTCATCAACAATGCCGGCCTCGATGTCGGCCCACGTCCGGTCAGTCTCCATCTCGACAGGTTGGCGGTCCTCGTCGGTGCTGTCGGTGCTGACGCCGGCGGTGCTGCTGTCCTCGACGCCGCTTTCCGAGACCTCCTCGATCTCGTCGAGCGTCTGCAACGAGCCCATGCCCAGGCCGGTGGCTGCCTCGTCCGCTTCCAGGAAGGGTTGCTTGGTCGATGGCGAGCCATGGCTGCGCTCGTCGTCGGTGGCCGGCTCCTCGGTCGTCATCGACATGCTGGCGGACCCGAGGCTGGTGGTGCTTTGGCCAAAGCTGCCCATGCTGCTGTCGTAGGCAAAGACGTGGCGCTTGTTCTTGCCGACAACCGAGGCGCCGCTGCTGGTGCGCCTCCTCTCCGGGGTCGGACCGCCCGATGCGGGCAGGTCGCGGTGGCTCTCACGGATCTCGTCGGCGGTGTCCGAGGTGGCGAAGCTGGCGCTGGTCCACGACTGGCTCCTTTGCAGCTGCTCCTCGCGCAGGCGAGCGAGCTCGTCCTTGGCCTTGAGGTGCTCGGATCGCTCATGCTCGAGGCTGCCAGCAAGGTTGAAGATTTGCTGGCGCATGTCGGCGAGCAGCTTGATCGTCATCGGCGGCGGGTCGGCCGCGGCGGGCGAAAAGTAGCCGCCGCCCAGGACGGGGCTGGCCGAGCCGAGCGCGGGGCTGCGCAGGACGGAGACGACGTCGAGCTGGATCTCGTCGAGTGCCTGGACGACGTTGACCTCGTCGGCGGGGATGGCGATGCCTTCCTTCTCCAGCGCCTGGGTCAGCTGGTGGATCCGAAGCTTGGCGGCGTTCTTGAGCTTGCGTTGGTCGTCGAGCTTGGAGCGCTCGCTTCGGAGGCTCTTTTCGGTGTCCTGGCAGCGCGATCGCCATCCCTCGACGTCGTCCCGCAGGACGTCTCGCTCCGCCTCGAGATCTTCAATCGTCTCCCGCGTGGCGCACAGCTCGCGCTCCAGCTCCGCGACCTTCTGCGTGGCCTCCGCGACGGCGGTCTCGAGTTCATCGACACGCGACCGGAGGGCGGTCTGCTCCTGTCCGCTGGACTGCTTGAGCTCAGCGAACTCGCGCGCGCTGCGCTCGGTCTCAAGCACCAGCTCGCGTTGCAGACGTTCGAGCTGGTCCTTGGTGCTCTCGAGCAGAGCAGCGTCGCGGCTGGCCTTGGCCTTGAGCTCGTCGTGCACGGCCATCGGCACGCCACCGAGGCTGGCGAGCGAAGGGGTGGCAAAGTGCCCGCCCACCGAATCGCTGGCGCTGTGCTGGCCGGACGGCTTGTAGTGGATCGAGCTCCGGCGCGCGTTCCTCGGCGTCGCGGAGCTGGGCAGTCCGTTACCGAGCTCCTCCTGCGTGAGCGTGACGGAACCAGAGTCTGCGCGGATGATGCTGTTGCGCCGACGGTTCGAAGCGATCGATTGGCCGATGCTGTCCGAGGACGAGACGTTCGACTCTGCGACGGAGCTGAGGGACGCGAGCGAAGACTGGTGGCTGCCGAGCCTCAGCGTGCGCATGCCCTGACGCTCGCGAGGCGCGGGCGGACCGGCCGTTGGCACGTTGGTCGTCGGAGGGCTGAAGACCATCGAGGTGCGGTAGGCGCGGGTGACCTCGCGCTGCACTGCCGAGTCGGTGCTGCTCTCCGGGGTCACATCGGTCGCAGCCTGGCTGGCGAGTTTCTGCTGGGCGTTGGCGAACGACCAACTCTTGACCAGGGTCGGAGAGTCCCTCGCGGGCGCGTCGTCGACAACTTTGGGCGTCAGCGGCTCCGACGGCAGCAGCGCGTCGCTCTCAAGGCGCGGCGTCTTGTCCGTGTCGTTCGAGTAAGGGCTGGCGATGCCGGAAGAGTTGGGGTTGGAGTGGCTCAGCGTGGGGAGCGAGTGGCTGGCCGACATGGCGCCGAAGCTGGGCGCAAGGTACAGGCTCGGTGGCCGGGACTTGAGCTTGAGCGGTCGCGGCGTCAAGCTGGCACGGCGGTTCTTCTTGATGGTCTCCTCCTCGGCGGCACGTCTCTGCCTGCGCAACTCATCGTCGAGGCTAGACGAGCCGCTTAGGGGCGTGTCGAAGCTCCTTCGCTCGCGGACCGGCGACAGCGACTCCTCCTCCTCCTCTTCCTCCATCAGGGTGCCGAGGCCCTCGGGCTGGATGGCTTCCGGGTGCACAATCATCGAGCCGGGGCGCTTTGACGTGATGAGCGTCAGGGGCGAGGTGGGCGACCTGGGCGGGAGCGAGTTGGTGGCGGGTGCGGTCAGGCTGCCGCGGCGGCCTTCGCGCGCGCCGGGCGACGACGCCTCTGATGTCGTCTTCTCGTTTGACTCGAGGAGCTGGATGCTCGCGCGACGGTCCATGCCGTCGCTGCCGTGCATGTCGTCGAAGCTGGGCAGCTGCACGCTGCTCTGCCGCTGGTGGCCAGAGATGCGGCGAGACTGCCAGGACTGAGAACCAGACTGGCCGCCAGCCGGGATCGCGGCCGGTTGCACGCGACCTTCGAGCTTTTCGAGCGCCGTCAAGCGACCTTCTTCGTTTTCCGGCTCTTCGGCTTCCGCGTTGGCGAACGCAGTCTTCCAGTCCCAGTTAGGCTGCGACGGCTTGCTACCGTCGCTGGCGTCGGGCACTCCGAACAGGACGCTCGCCGATGGGAGCCCGGACATCCTGGAGCTGCGGCGGCGGCTCGAGGCGAGCGAATCGTACGAGGGCGAAACGGCGACACCCAGCCCGATGCCTCCCATGATCTCCATGCTCTCGCGCTTGGTGGCGACGCTGGTCCTGCGAGCGTGCCGGCTCTGGCGCCGTTCCTGCTTCGAGGTCGATGCCGTCGAGGCTGGACCTGCTGCAGATTCCGGATCCGCAGCGGGTGTCGGCCGCGTGAAGAGCGAGGATGCGTCGGCGATCTGCTGGGATCGATCCGCAGCCGTCCCAGACGACTGCAGGGGGGAACCAGACACATCGCGCCAGTCGCCGAGCGGGTCGACGCCGGCGGGGTGCTCGACCGCAAGCAGCACCGCGTCGTCCTTGCGGCCGCCGAGCAGAAGGCTGTTTGGTCGCGAGCGGGTGGCAAGACTCCGCGAGCCCGAGCGGGAGTGGGATCGAAGGTGGCTGGCCGAGGCGTTGTGGGTCGAAAACGGCCGGGAACTCGTCGACACGGCTGCAGAGGCGGCCACCTGGGATGCTAATGCCTGGCCGGTGATGGAGATGGATCCGGCTCGCGAATGCCCGCGGCCATGACCACCGCGCGAGGCGGTCCGGCTATGTCTGCAGGTATTTTGTTGGCTCTGGGCATCGAGCTCGGCCATAAGGGGGGCAGCCACGTCGACGACGGGCTTGGCGCTGGTCGAAGCAGTGGACTGAGCTCGCGCCATCTGGGCTTGCTTGGCACGGAAGCTCTTGAGCTGTTAAGACGCGTGCCACGGAAGCAGGAGGCAAGGGTAGAGAAAGCGGGTGTGAGTGGACGCGCGGCGCGAGATAGGCAGAGCTCGGGAGGTGGCAGGCAGGCTCACCTTCTTCTTGGCTGCGAGGATCTGCTCGTCGCGAGCTCGAGCGCCCTCTGAGGTTGATGACGAGCTCATGACGACGAAGCGGTCGGGCGCGCCAGTCAGCGGTGCTCGATGGTGGGCGAGTCAAGAGCCGGACCTGAGCTTGCACGAGGTGGTGTCGCGCGATGCTGTCGTCTCAGGCGGCCTACGAGGAGGCTACCTGTGATGGTGTGGGACCGAAAGGGAGGATGAGGAGGACGAGAAATGTCGAGGACCCGTGAGAGTCGCCGGTTGTGATGAGGGACGCTGGTGGTCTCCAGATGAAGGGTAGATAGAGCGGAGCGTAGGTCGGAGGCGTGTTTCCGTCCAGCGAATAGTGAGTCGGCCCGAAATGAGCGAGGGCGTGAGTGCCGCGATGGGTCGGAGGTGGACGGCAGAAGACAAGGATCGATGGATGCCGTTCGGGGTCTTCGGGGCTGGTGAAGCCGACAATTGCGCAGGCAGGCGTTGTGGTGAATGAGCGGGGCCTCGGGGCGAGGCAGCGACGGGGTGGGTTGGTTGGTGGTGCGGTGGGTTGATCGCTGTTGCAGGGTGAGGGGGGTGCGAGGAGAAGAAGAACAGGGTATGGGCGGACGAGGTTCGACCAGGATGACCAGCACGATGGCGAACCGAGAAGCGAAACGAGGATCGGAGGGGAGCGAGGGGCGAAGAGGGTGGTGAGTCGACGGAAGAGGGGCAGAAGGGGGGGTCGAGCACGCGCGAAGGGGGTGAAAGAAATGGACGGGAGGGGCGGCAGCGGCGTCGGGATGCGATGGCGAAGAAGATGGAGACGGAGGGGTGGGTGAGATGGATCAAGAACGCGGAGCGGGGGGGACGAGGAGGCAGGACAGCCTACGGCAGGGCGATGGTGGCGAGCAAAGGGGGGGCGCCAGCAGGCCCTTGTGCCATGCTCTCGTCTCGGAGGCCAGCGAGGGATGCGCGTTGGCCGCTTCAGCCCGAGGCCAGGCCAGGCCAGGCGCCAGGCTAGTCTGGGCGGCAGGCGGCGGCCGACGCGAAGAGCCGACGCAGGCAGACAGCCGCCCAGCCTGCCTGCCAGCACGCCCAACCTCGCACAGCCAGGCCAGACGCACAAAATCCTGAATTCCAAAACCTCAGCTGGCAGCGCAGCCCCCCGGCCTCTCCAGGCCTAGCAGCGCATGCAAGCTTGCTTTTTGGCCTGCCTGCCTGTCTTTTTTCCCCTCTGGCCCCCGGGCGGGCCTGCCAAAGGGAGGAACGCCCGCCTGCAGGTTGGTTGTTGCGGCTCGGCCGGCCCCCTTTCCAGGCGGCCTGCCTTGGTTGCGTGCGCGTGTATATCGGAACGCCCGCCCTCGATCTTCGCGGGTGGGTGCAACGCCGCGATCATCGACAAGCTAAGCTTCAGACGCAAAGGGGCAGCAACGATACGATGGTGCAGCGTAGCGTACGTGCGTGTGACGGCGTCCAGCCACCGACGTACGGTGCCATGATACGCGCCCACTTCCCGACACCCGTACCACCGACGGCGCAACGTACGACGACCGGCCTTCTTGCAGGTGGGTCGCCAGAGCTAGAGCCAAAGACCTGCCTGCCAGGTCATCAGCATCGCTCTCTCTGGCCAAGACATCGACGACGACGACGACGACGACGACGACGACGAAGAAGAAGCGGTCAAGATCCATCTACCGATATGAGAGCGAGATCAGCGCCAGGCACGGCCACGACCCGAGCGGCTCGAGGCGAGGCGAGGCGAGGCGAGGTTTTGGGCGGGATCGCCGACGCGCCGGCCCGCCAGCCGAGCTCAAGGCCAGGCTAGGTCGGGCAGGCAGGCGGGCAGGCTGGCCAGAGGGGGGGGGGGCGCGTTCATCTCGCTCGGCCCTAGCCTGAGCCCTGAGCTGGCCCCCGTTTTCCTGACGCGCGGCGGCCCCAGGGCAGGAAGAGAGGCAAGCTCTGGCCGGGCAAGGCAAGGCAAGCAAGCTAGGCTACCAGCCAACTGCACGCACGCAGGGGGCAGCACCGAGGCCAGCTGGAATGCACAACCAGGGCAAGGGCAAGCAAGCAAGCCAAGCTCGACGCAGGGGGTCGGTACGCACACCGCGCCGCACCTTCCACACACACCCCCGCCGCCATCGCATCGCCCGCGGCTTGAGCTCCAGCCTAGCGTAGCCCAGCGTGCGGGATGTACGTACGTGCATTCAGGAAGCAACGTATCTCGAGCTCGATCTACGGCTCTTCTCTGCTAGCTGCCTTCTACCTTGTCTGCGCAATCTGGCGATCCGCGACGAGCATGACGACACGACGTCCTCGCAAACAGAACACAGAGAAAGGCGGCAAGGAGCGGCGAGGAGGGGGGGTTGGGCTACGCTACCCTTTACTGCACCAACAAAGAACCGACCGACGATGATCATGGATGGGGTGCCTTTCCGCCTGTGTCTAAACAGAGCCGCCTGGTCTGGCGAGCCAAGCCAAGCCAAGCCAAGAAGGGCACGGCGCAAGCAAGCCCATATCGGCCGGGCGGAATCAATGTTTCTCAACGCCCTCGACGCCCGTACCAGTCTTAGTCCTTCAGACTGTAAAGTCGCATCGATGCGCCAGGCCCCATTCGCCGCCTCGAAGCAATGTACCGCCACACCGCTCTACCGATCGCCATCGTCGCGGTCGTGCACGTTCTGTACTACCGTCGATGGTGTGCCTGCCTGCCTGTGCAAACCGTGGGCTAGGAGAGATGTAGACACGATGGGGACAGAGGGCGACAAAGGGAGCGAGATCGTGCACGAGCGGGTTCCGTACACCTTGCTTCTCCTTCCCTAGCAGCGCACTGACCGAAGGGCGCCCTACTCAGTATGCACACATGCATGCACGCCTGGCGCGGCCTGACCTGGCCTCACCGGGCACCATCACATGGCGTATCGACGAGGTGTGCCGCCCCCTACCCCTCCGCCGGTGCCGGTGCCGGTACCGCCTCCGCCTCCTCCTCCTCCGGCTACCGAGACTGAAGAACCGGGCGTCGCAAGCCCAAATGGCAGTTCCGGCATCATCCCGGCAGCGTGCTGGCCAGAACCCACAGCGGCGACGGCGGGCGGGATCGCGCCGTCGGCCTGGCTGACGTCGCCGATGTCGTCGAGGAACTGAACGCCGCAAAGGCCAAGCAGACAGGCAACAGGTGAGAGAAAGGGGGGCCGTGCGGTCAGCTTCCTTCCGTCGTGGTCCCACGCACGCGCTCACTGCCTCGCTTCGCATTGCACCGCGTCGCAGCGCGTCGCAGCGCAGCGCATGGCCTTGCGTTGCGTCGACTCTCAACGTAGGCAGGCGGGCAGGCAGTTCGAGGGAAAGCGAAAGAGGCAGACGTACGCACCTTGGAAAAGTAGTCGGTCCACGTCAGATCCTCGAGCTGGTGCGTCGTCGACCTCACGTCCTCGGGCGCAGGGGTAAAGAGGGGCAGGATGCCACGGGAGTCGGCGTACGGGACCGGATGCAGACCGGCACCACCGTTGCCATCGACGCCGCCACCGACACCGACGTGGCCGTGACCGTGGCTGTGGCCGTTGGAGGCACCGCTGGTGGCGGTCGCAGAGTTTGTCGTCCAAGACGGGGCAGACTGCGGCTGCATGGCCGCCATGCCGCCGTGGCCGTCGTTGATCGACGACGAAGACATGGCCGCATCCCCTCCGCCGTCCATGGGCCCATACCCGCCGAGACCGTTGATCGACCCACCGGCCGGGGTGCCGTAGTCGGTGCTGCCCCGCGCCGGCGACTGCGCGCCAGGCCCCCAGGGCGACCACGACGGGATGATGGACGACGCTGCGCTGGTCGTCGCAGGGGCTGCCAGGGACGACACGTGGTGCTTGAGGCCGTCGCCGCTGGGCCGCCGGTTGAACCTCGACGCCGCC